ACAACCTCCTTGTGTTTGTTTGAGTTTCCATGTAAGCAACTATGGACAACTAAACCATCCTGTTTTGCAGTCCTGTCAGTTTCCAAGTTCTGCACCTGCAGCCTCATTTTACAGCAGAACACCCAATTCTAATCCTCCAACTGTGTTCCCAATCCTATGGCAGCGACCTCATCCTAAACTTGCGAAAGCCTGCAATCCCCGTCCTGTCGACCAGGGTCCCATCCCCATCCCTGGCCAGGGCTCCCAATCCCCTCCTTGGTCAAGGTTGCAATCCCCATCCCTCAGACAGGGATCCCATCCCCATCCTCACCCCCGACAGCAATCCCCATCCCAAAAGTAGTGTAGCACGCCTAATCCCTAATCCTCGCCCTGGGCCCCACATCCCATCCTGACGTCGTCAACCCTATTCCCCATCCCGCCTGACCAGTACCTGCCCCCAATCCCCCATCTCTGCAACCCTCTGGTGCAGCTTTGCCCCGAACACTGTATACACGAGTGGCCTACATAAAGGCATACCTTTATACAACGGACTATTAGGCTCTCACAGTTTTGCATGAGTACACATGGTAACCTATAGCCTACAGGCCTATAGACCATGCTGTATACAACAGATCGCCTATAGGTGTGATGTATACGATCATATACGCGAAATCACCTATACTCCACATATTCCGCGGTCCTACCTATTAGGCGATGGCCCGGCCTATAGGTGACTTCCAATTTTACTGACGCACCTCCACCACCTCCGAAGCCAAGGAAATCAAGGCAACAGCTGAGAAGTCGCTAAGACTACCTACCGCTCACGGACGGCATCGTCCTAGAAGGTGTGGCGGGTGCGATTTGCAAGACAGTTGGAGTGGGTACCGTCCTGCTAGAAGCAGAGGGGGAGAATGGCAAGATTAAGATTTACCCTAAAGAATGTGTATCATGCGCCGGAATTAGGTCACAAACTGATTTCGGTAGGCGAACTAGGTCTGAAGGGTTACCACGTGGATTTTCGTGGACCAGTTGCTGTGATTAGGCAGCCGGAACGTCTTGTCAGTCGATGCCCAGGAAACCCTCTAATATTTTCTCCATGAATGAGGAAATACGCAAGCCTGGAGTGGGAGTATGGGGAGCAAATCCCGTGTGTGCGGGCGGGCACCCATTACTACCTAAAGGCGACCCGGTTGGGCCAGGGGGAGTGCGTTCAAACCCTGGCGGTCTTGTCTGAATCTGTGGGGCTTTGGCATCGTCGGTTCGGACACATAGGGTACGGTAATTTAGAGAAGCTCGTGTTTGATGAAATGGTCACTG